GTCCTAAACGTGCGCGAGATACTTACGTAACAGTCCAATGAAGGAGAGTCCTAAACGTGCGCGAGATACTTACGTAACAATCTAATGAAGGAGAGTCCTAAACGTGCGCGAGATACTTACGAAACAGTCCAATGAGAAGAATCCTAAACGTGTGTTAGATAGTAGCGTAACAATTCAATGAAGGAGAGTCCTAAATGTGCACGAGATACTTACGTAACAGTCCAATGAAAGAGAATCCTAAACGTGTGTTAGATAGTAGCGTAACAATCCAATGAAGGAAAATTCCTAAACGTGCGCGAGATACTTACGTAACAGTCCAATGAAGGAGAATCCTAAACGTGTGTTAGATAGTAGCGTAACAATCCAATGAAAGAGAATCCTAAACGTGTGTTAGATAGTAGCGTAACAATCCAATGAAGGAGAATCCTAAACGTGTGTTAGATAGTAGCGTAACAATCCAATGAAGGAGAGTCCTAAACGTGTGCGAGATACTCACGTAACAGTCCAATGAAAGAGAGTCCTAAAGGTGTTTAAGATACTAACGTAACAACCCAATGAAAGAAAATTCTAAAAATGCGCGAGAAACTAACGTAACAATCCAATAAAAGAGAGCTATAAAATAGCACAAGATACGAACGTAGATATCCAAGGAAACAAGGTTCTGATAGTGCACGAGATACTAAAGTAACAATCCAATCAAAAAGAAATATAAACGTATATAAAGTACCAACGTAATAAACCAATCAAAGAGAATTGGGTCGGATGCTAAAGTTCCAATTCAAACGAAAGAAAACTAAAAGTGCATGAGATACTAACGTAATAATACAGTGAAAGAGAATTAAAAAAGTACCCGATTTACTGACGTAAAATTCCAATTAAAGAGAATTCTAAAAGTGCGCAAGATACTAACGTAATAATCCAATTAAAGAGAATTCTAAAAGTGCGCAAGATACTAACGTAACAATCCAATTAAAGAGAATTCTAAAAGTGCTCGAGATACTAACGTAACAATCCAATCAAAGAGAATTCTAAAAGTGCGCGAGATACTAACGTAACAATCCAATCAAAGAGAATTCTAAAAGTGCGCGAGATACTAACGTAACAATCCAATCAAAGAGAATTCTAAAAGTGCGCAAGATACTAACGTAACAATCCAATTAAAGAGAATTCTAAAAGTGCTCGAGATACTAACGTAACAATCCAATTAAAGAGAATTCTAAAAGTGCGTAAGATACTAACATAACAAATCATCGAAAGAGGATTCTAAAAGTACGCAAGATAATAACGTAACAGTCCAATGAAAACGAATCCTTAAACGAATGTAAGGTAGTAACGTAACAGTCCAATGAAAACGAATCCTTAAACGAATGTGAGGTACTAACGTAACAGTCCAATGAAAACGAATCCTTAAACGTGTGTAAGGTATTCACGTAACAATCCAATCAAAGAAAATTCTAAACGTGCGCGAGATACTAACGTAACAATGCGAATGAAGAGAGCTCTAAAAGAACACAAGATTCTAACGGAAAGATCCAATGAAAAAGGGTTCTGATGGTGCACGAGATACTAACGTAAAAGTCCAGTGAAAGAAAATTCTAAAAGTGAGCCAGATACTTACGTAACAATCAAATTAAAGGGGATTATAAAAATGATCGAATGACTAAAGGAACGATAAAAAAAAAGACAATTTTCAAAGTTTGCCAGATATTGACGTTACAATCCAATATAATAGAAAACTAACATTACACGAGATGCTAACGTAACAATCCAATCAAAGAGAAATCAAAAAGTGCGTATTTTGCCAGTCGAAGATTAATTCAGTCCACGGTTTTAAACAGCTCCTTTATTGAATCATCGCTTGGAGTAGTCGCGTTCAAAATCCAGTGGTGTCTCACAGTTCTTCTGACAAGCAAGTCGTAATACAGTGAATTCCATTTATGACGTCATCACGTTATGCGATTAGTAATAATTAATTGAAAATTGTGGCCTTAATTAGCTAGCGCAGTAGATAACATATTAAACAATACAGTGCGTCAGAGACTAAAGTTACAAATTGAACAAAAAGAAAACTAATGATGGATGAGATACTAACGTAAAAATGCAATCAAAGAGAATTCAAAAAAGTGTGTAAGATGCTAACGTAACAATCCTTTGAAAGAGAATTTTAAAAGTGCGCCAGATTCGAACATAACAATCCGTTTAAGGAGAATTAGGAAAGTGCGCCAGGAACTAACGCAACAAGCCAATCAATGAGAGTTTTGGAAAAGTGCGCGAGATAATTACGCAAGTATCCAATGAAAGACGATTCTAAACGTGCGCGAGATACTTACGTAACATTCCAATGAAGGAGAATCTTAAAAGTGTATGAAATACTGACGTAACAATCCAATCAAAAACAAATTCTAAAATGTGCGATACAAACGTAAATCCAAATAAGAGAGAGCTCTAAAAGAGCACAAGATACTAACGTTAAGATCCAATAAAACAGGGTTCGATAGTGCACGAGATGCTTACCTTAAAAGTCCAATGAAAAAGGGTTCTGACGGTGTGCGAGATACTAAGTAAAAGTCCAGTGAAAAAGAATTCTAAACGGGCGTGAGATCCCAACGTAAAAAACCTTTACTGAAAGAGAACTCAAAAAGTGCGCCAGATACTAACGTAACAATCCAATGAAAGGGAATTCCAAACGTGGGCGGATAATTAAAAGTAACGATCCAACCGAGGAGACTTCTAATTGTGCGCCAGATATTAACGTAACAATCGACTAGAATTGAACCAAAAAAAGGGCAAAACACTAAAGTAACAATCCAATCAAGAGAATTCAAATAGTGCGCCAGATCCTAAAGTAACAATCCAATCAAAAAGAACGTACGTTAAGTACCAACCTAACAATCCATTCAAAGAGAATTAAAAAAGTGCGCCACTAAAAGTGCATGAGATACTAACGTAACAGTTCAGTGAAAGAGATTGTAAACGTGCGTGAAATACCAACGTAACAATCCATTGAAAGAGGATTCTTAAAGTGCGCGAGATAATAAAATAACATTCCGATGAAAGAGAATCCTGTGTGTAAGATACTTACGTAACATTTCAATCAAAGAAAATTCTAAACGTGCGCGAGATACTATAGTAACAATTCGAATAAAAAGAGTTCTAAAATAGCACAAGGTTCTAACGTAAAAATCCAGTAAAATAGGTTTTGATAGTGCACGAGATACTATCGTAAACGTCCGGTGAAAGATAATTCTAAACGTGCGTGAGAAACTAACGTAAAAAAATCCATTGAAAGAAAACTCTAAAAGTGAACCAGCTACTAACGTAACAATCGAATTAAAGGGATTTATAAAAATGGGCGGATTGATAAAGTAACGATCCAAATAAAGGGAATTCTAAATAGAAAACTAAAACTAACTCTGTATTTCTATCTAACTGCTTCTTTTCACAGGTTACTTACCTGAAGAAATGTCGTGATAAATTGAAAAGCATGAATCCTCGACATGGCATCTCAAACACTTGCTCTAGCATAAGAAACGCTCCCCGACCTGGACAGAGAGGACAGTATCCAAGGTAATAGGGTCGAATGCCGTGTTTCTTGACTCCATTAAAGCAAAGAAAGACGCTCAAATTTCTTGTAGTTCGTAATCTCTTTCCACGTGCAAGGCTAAGCGCAAATATGAATATTAACTTTAGAAATTATTTGTAATTTAAATGAGTGTTCCGACTTCAAAAGCGGGTTCAAAGAAGTCGACACCGAGTTCTTCGGTCGGATCCGTACAATTATGAAGCGAAGTAGGATACTTCGGTTGAGACAGATTTTCAACTGAGAAGTTCCGCAGAGATCTGCAAATAGTGTTGTAATTTTAGAAATACTCAACTCGAACCTAACTGAAATTGAATTAAAAACATTTTGCTTTAACAGTATTTTTTAAGTCATTACAGAAGCATACAAATCAGGTCAGATATGCTTCTGGTCATTAACAATCGGTTTACCAGAACCTCGCGGTGTATCTATCTGTTTTTCTTTTCCATGGGCATTTCCAGTTAAAAAAGTGAAGCTGTTTTTCAATCTCCATCAGTATTGACGAAACACGTTACAGACGAAGGAGCTGTTTTATTCGGCAACTTTCCGACTGGATAAAGGCACATATAAGATGTAAACATAAATGCGTATATAAATGTAATATCTTCAGGTGTCTCTGAGTTATTGAAAGGAGATATAATTTTACCCTTCTTTTTCTTTCTTCGTTTCCATGCCTACTCCATGTTCACAAGTATAGAGGGAGAGAACCTAGGGCCAAGCTCGCGCGGGGGCCGTACAGGTCATATGATGATAGCGTTTTCGGTTCAATGCGAAGCGAACAGACATAAAGCTCTGATCAAGATTCCTACCTAAGTTATTGACATAATGAATATTGCACGTTCTACTTTGAAAGTAAGAAAATGTAATGAATAAACTAGGGGTAGAGTTTGTTCCGACGCTTGGTCTGATTGCAGTTTGAAGGCGTTCGATTCGACGTAAAGTAGTCAAACGATTTTAAAAATGAACTCAAAAGGTATGGTAATTTGCTTTCAAAAGATTCAGATATTTTGTAAACTGTCACTTATTCCAAAGGCGAAAGTGTTCTGATTTGCCATTTTCTATGCAATGCTAGTTCCGCTAGTACCAAAGGCGAAAGTGTTCTGATTTGTCATTTTCTATGCAATGCTAGTTCCGCTAGTGCCAAAGGCGAAAGTGTTCTGATTTGCTATTTTCTTTGCAATGCTGGTTCCGCGGGCATTGGGTTGGAAAGTAACCTATGAATTTATGTTTCTGATTCAGAATCTCGCGAGTGTCTTTAAAAGCTAACTCATCATTTAATTCTATGATCCTTCACTCTCCTTGGTGTTTTGCACTAATAAGATATGTTCTAAAAGTTGGATTCAATAATGGCTAAGAAGGACATTTTCTTGTTCCTCTATAGTTTTTAAACGGTATTTATAAAATTTTCAGCTATTAAGGCTCATTTTCATCCTGTTTAATTTACAGCAACTCGATCTTTTTATCACATACGGGGTCTATCTCTCTGTTATAAATTATCCATACGGCTTTAGACATTTTTTGTTTTTCTTTTCAATTGATCTCCATTAAATTGTAGCAAATATGTCTTTCCCTCAAACTCCTCTGGGGGAGACCCTAAGCGAAGTTGACCTCAGACTGGCATGATCGATAAGTTAACCTCTCTATTTTTCTCTTTCCAAGAGGTATAAATACAATAAAAAAAAAAATGCGCAACAGCCAGTCATAAGCAAGCGAACCTAAAAAAAAACAATATTTAGTAGTAGGAATAGCAATGAGGATCGAAATGCACCAATGAGAGCACCCCAGATACGCGTGACCATTCAAACCTCATCGCCTGACGAACACTAAAAAGAGAGCATTCGACACGTCGCGATCCTTAATCAACAGCTGGAATCTAAATGTTAGTGGCTATAAATCATGAAACAATCGAATATACTTTGAATTCGTTTATCATTACAACCACGGTGAATAAACACACCTTTTACAATCATTACTACCGCGGAAAGCTTTCACACTTTGCATATCTGCCACAAATTAATTCAAAACCACGTTACGTCAAATAACACTAAATACATTTAAAAACTTGCATTAAATAGTTTCGTCTCAATGAAGCAACAATTAATAACGCGTCACCCTAAGATAGTATGATATTCTCATAAAATCACGGGAGTATAATTACAATAACGATACGATAAACCTAACTAAAACCGGGTCTTTCTGAACTGATATCCTGTCAGTTAAACTATTACACATCATATTTAATAGAAGTAACGATATGGAATTTTTTTCTCGCGAAGGAACACAAATTTTATCACGGAATTCATCGAAAAAAGCCCTAACTTTGCGCCACGTTTGAAATGAACTTAAAAGAAGTAGTTGATACCATCAAAACAACAGCGTCAAGCCATTTCTTTCATTTACTGGTTTAAGATTTGGCTTTCAATAGTGTAAATGAAACCTTTGTTCTGATTATTTTCGATCTTAATATCCTGTACAGTCTAATCAGTGGGTATCATACTCAGCATACAGTACCACATGAACCACGAAAATTTGGGTTTGGACCAAGATTTATAAAATGCTTACATATTGAACCAAGAGATGATAAACTTTTCTTAATCTCTTGATTTCAAAGAACCTCAGAATGGAGGTAATGTTCATCCCCAGCCCAGGTCGAAAAAAAAAAAACAAATACGCAAGTAAACGCAGCAAAGAAACACAATATAGATGGCAAAAGACAACGCAAATTAAAACTGGTAATAATAACAACAATGCATTTTGGCTTGAGTCATTGGCTCTAAAGATCATAAACAATTCTCCCTACTTGCCATGTATTTCTTAAAATTTCACTTATGGGAATTTGATGTTAAATAAAACTTTGTCTCTTATAGTTAACACTATTGTTTCCTTTATTTGTACTTAACTGTCTAACAATGAGTTAATATCGAAAGGAAAAGTTATTTATTAGTCACAGGCTCGGGTGGATGGCTCAAGTACTTAAAGTTTCTTTCTTGTAGCAAAACAATAATCTAGTTAATTCATTATATTATAAATTATTCACCCTTACACCTTCGTAGCATGTGGATAAAAAGATGGATTGAGATCAAGTAAGCTAATCTTTTTCTTTTACTTTTCATAAGAACCTCTTGACCCTGCTACCTATGAACAGACCGTTACTCGGGTTAGAGGATTAATCAGACTCACGTAGATATCTATACCTCATAAATCCTACACAAGCAGTCTACACTAATGAAAAAGATCGTTTCAGCGTTGTCAAGATTTCCCGCAGAACGTAAATGAATATCGCTACTCATTCCAGGGTTGGCGAAACTCTGAAGCTGGCAAATTCATACAGTGTGTGGCATCAAAGTCCATCAAATACTGCAAAACCTGGGAGATAAAGATATAAATCCATTCAACCCAACTTAATAACAAGCTACGTTTTGTGGCAGAGGCACGCATAGTTTTCGTCGTGTTATAATATCCTTACAATATCCAGCAAACAGGTAATGAGAATACTCAAACTTATCACGGCGAATTTTTGTTCTTGATCTGAAATCAAATTCTTGTAACTAATTTACAAGGAAATGTGTTGCAGCTAGAGGGGAGAACTGACAATCAGATCTTGGGAGTTAAAGGATTAAAATAAAAGTGTGAGGAGCCAACCTTTGATCACTAAGAAGATGTCAAATTTCAATCCACTTACTAGAAACATCAGTAGATGAATCCGTTGTTCCAATGACAGATCTTGACCTGGTGTTGATTAACAGAATAAAATGTGATCAAAAAAATCATAAAAAACAAAACAAAACAAAAAACCGAAACAATTGCTTACCAATCATCATGGGATATTCCTTTCCGTTTTCTTTCACATAATTCTTGTACATTGACTCGCATAAATTGGCGTCGACACTCAGGCTATTCCAAATAGCTTCTACAACATAATTTAAAGTGAATTTACCTTCATCTATCGAAATAAGACATCTTAAACAAAACACGAGCTAGCATCACATGAGGAAACAAGTTTAAAATAAAGTCAAGGAGATTTCTACGTCTGCAGCTTTAAAAAAATTCAAAAACGAATTTTAATTTGTCACACACGCAAAAATGAATCTTACTCTTGGTGGCTTGATCAGGGGCGGCGAGATATTCATATAATGCGTCTTCACCACTGTCATCAACTAACTTTGGATATCTAATGGAGGAGTACAACATAACAACAACAATTGCTCATAATCGTCTCTTATTTTTCCTGATCCAAAAATGAGTGACGTAATGGCAATGACATATTCTTCAATCACGGATTCGACGTTTAAGAATGTTACCTGAATTTGAGAAACTTCACCAGGAGATCATTTCCACGGTTTGAGCTGATATCTCCTTCCCTGATCGGAAAAGAAATACATTCATACCAGAATTTCTTTGGATCCAAGGATACCAATTAATTTTAAAAAGATAAAAGTAGTCAGTTGTCAGGCATGGATATTGATTTCTAACTTCAGTCGGGTAAGGTAGTGGTACAGATATTGATTCATTTTCCAGTTATTCCGAGTAAAGGTGTCTAAAGAACTGTGGTGCTGCGTCACTGGGAGATTATAACAGGGTAATTTGGTATAATCAATTGAGTTGATAACGTAAATTGGCCACCGTAAAGTCTCAAAGCTGACGTTTTGTGCCTTACCCCTTCGTCAGAGCAAATGATTCGCTCTGACGAAAGGTTAACGCTCGGTACGTTGGCTTTGAAACTCTTTACGGTGGCCAATTTACGTTATCAACTCAGTTGATAATACTAAATTACATTGTCTAATTTAAGGTTCCACATGTAATGCCTGTTACCGTTGAATGATCGAAGTTCACAGAATTTGTATCTTTTCAGAGAATCTTTGTGAAAAGGCACTCATGCAATCGACCTCAGTCGCGTTTTAAAGTAACCAAAGCTTCCTGGCATAGTAAAAACTTTATTAATTTGCGCTTTTAGCTATTTTAAAACACCTCTTCCGGGAACAGCTGTATAGGAGGTAACACAGTCGAGGTAATTATGGACTTAAGTCAATCTACTCATCACAAAAGTACTAGGCTGTTCGTTCCACAGAATTCATTTACCACTCCGGGAAATAATTAGGTGCTATGAAGTGCTTGAAGGGAATAAATGTACCCAGGGTGCTTTTCAGCTCCATAAGGTTTTCAACCAATCACTGGCATCACCATTAAGTAAATCTAAATAAATACTGTCAAAACCTCCGGCTGTTCCCTCATGGCAACGGAATTTGAACTTTAATCGAGTTCCTACGCGCATCTTACATTTAACATTACATAAGATTCAAACTACAAGACGAACATTTGTTCTCAATGGTGGCTGTCAAACTCAGCAATTAGTTCATCAGCGACGAAACAAGAGTACTGGCTGACAGGCAGCCAACTGGCGAAAGCCATAAATAGGGATAAATTAACTACAACAATACATGAAGTAACATGAAAATCAAATGCCTTACTCAGTTGTGATGATCTCATCTCTCATTCTTCTGATGAACAGCACCGGGCCTGGATAGCTAAACAAAGTCGTGTAAAGTAACAAGTTATTTCCAAAGTAATGTTAGAAGTACACCGTGACTGTATTGGTTTTGCTTCAAAACGCCACGAGATCGGTCAACATGAAGGTAACCTTAAGCCTCCTCAGAGCCAATCAGATGATAGGACTAAGCCCAACCGCGACTTAGTCACTCGCGTTTTGCCGCGTTACAGGCCGGTTTCATGTATTGACACTGATTTCTCATTGGCTTCTTGCGAGATAATAATGAAAGATTTCTACCATTAGCTCACGGCGCCTAACAACACTTTGGAAGGGAGAAGGGGGGGGAGAGACTTTGGCCAGACTTCCCTATGCAATTTACAATTTTTTTCGACAGGAAATTTTGCAGATGCCCCCGAGATGGCATCTTTGTTATGAAAATATTTTGGAATACTTGAGTTTATTTTGCAATACTCAAAGAACACACAATCAGTCGATATGACTGGTAGGTGTAAAAATAAGTTTGGATATACAAGGAGCATTGACAGGTCATCACCAAACGTGTTTCTCAATGAACTGTTTACTGATTCACAACACAAACAGTTGGGAAGAAGTCCATGCTGTTTCTCTTGTTAGTGACATAGCTTTAACACTTAACATGCAGCATGTCACCATAGAAAAAGTAAAATTTACATTTTGCAGCTAGAAAACGTCTAGTTAACGAAAATACTTCTAATAATTCATTGAAACTAAGTCACAGCAAATAGGACAACTCTAAAGGAATTTGTGAGTTATCGCTAAGTACTTCTAATTAACTAAATACCTGTATAACATACGAGCAATGTCAAGATGAAAATATTCCTTTACAACCCTTGTCGTAAAACCACCTGTTAGATTAATGCAGATATCGAAGTTTCAGAGATGCATGCCAAAGGTTGTCAACCAGTCAATAATGCAAATATACAGATTCGCGGAAAGAAAAACCTGCAACTACTGCAGGTGACTTGTACGGAGGCTTAGATGGCCAAATATCATGATTGATAAGTAGCCTTGAGTCTGCATCCTGTGCACAAGGTCATAGACTCAATGTGCGTCTTGTGAAAGCTAACGAGAATCACTTCGCATGTATTTGCAATATTCTATAGCAATTGAGAAAGTATGACGTTTGGCATGCTTAGGTGAATTTTTTGTGCAGTGCGACATCCTCTACAAGTACAATTTCTAGCTCCTTACAACGTTCAAAATACGTGGTCAGCCTTTAAAGGATAAGAAACTCATTCTACCGGAGCTAATCCCAGTTTCTATGAGGTAACGAACAGGCAGATGAACAGTAAAGAGTCGGTGCTTTCCCCCACGCCCTGATTGTCAGTTGGGAAGTGAATGGCACGTACTATTCATCTTCGAGCACCGACGAGACAAAATCATTGGTCAAGTGTTAAATTCCAACCCTTTTACGGTATATAGAAAGAAATAACTAATTTTTTTTTTTAATTTATGTGGCATATACTAAAACAATTATTCACCTCCACTTCAGTGAATAATTGTTTAATTTTGCTATTCCCCTTGAATAGGATGTCACTCCATTGCAGCATTACCTCCCAGCAACTTGTTTAGTTCCCCTTGAAAATTTGCTAGTATCCATTCTCCTTAGTCGAGAGTGGATGTAAAAAAAATTTCAGTGTCAGGGCTTGGACCCAGGTCTTTTGATCTTAGGTCGAGCACAACAAACACTAGGAAACCATGGGTAATACAACTTAATATGTAGAAGACATACTTATGCTTTCAGGCATCTTGCACTGAGCAAGTGGAACAATGTCATCAAATGTTGCATCTAAAACCTGAGGGATAAAGAAAAGATTGGCAACACCACTGCTTTATTTCATTGATGAGAATCTGCGATTAATATGACCAATTATAAGCATTATAAATCTCCATCAATTTGGCAACCATTGTCAAAGAGCTACTTGTGTTTGTGTTTATTCTGCAACCTACCAAAGCACCAATCTTAGGGTGAGTTCTTCCTGCCCAAACTGCTGGATAACCCCCTAAAAATTCACAAAGATACAATTTGAAGTCAAATGATGTACAAAGCTGCAAACTAAAAAGTCCAGGAATAATGTAACCTTTGTATTTTCTCAGTAGCTTGCATTACAAGTGTATATCAGTACATGAACACTCAGTACTTTAAGGTATAATGTCTGGCTACCATATCTGCTTCTCAAAGCAGGGGAGGGTTAAAGAAATAAATAAATTTGCACCTAAGGGTGTGGTCAAAAGGGGAGAGGATCCATGCCCTTCCATCCCAATTATGCAAAATAATTATTGTTGCTTGACAAAATATTGCAAGTTTTTAACACTAATTTGAACTCCTTCGCAAAACACATACAAAGCAGGCTGATTCCCAGAAAAAAAGAGACAACAACAGTTGTTACTAAATAATTAAATAGTAAGCCATATCATCAAAAGTAGTGTTTTGTTTTGTCTTGAGTGGCATTTGAACATGATATATTTATCAGTCTCAAGGTGATAACTATGTATTTGTGAGAACTTAACTCAGTTGATCTGAATACAACAAGCACAAAAAAGTGATGTGATCACTCACCTATTGACCATGCATATATAACAATGTTAGAAACTGAGAAGCCTAGCACTTCCACAGCATATTGTATCACAACATCTATAGCATTTCTCTCAGATTCTGGTCCTGGCACACCCTGTAGCAATAATGACAAGATATCAGCGATTTACTTTACTTTCCTATGCCACAATTTGTAGTTATACCAATCATACAATTTGTCGTTAAGAGGTTGATTAACAATGAGGGACAAAAAATAGGAGATTCTGATATTTCATTGTAACCAAAGTTCCCCTTCATCCCCCCTAGTATCTCACCCACAATCTCCCCCCCCCCTTGACAACCAACTGAAAATGTTGAGCTTTATATCTCTGAATTTTATTTGTATGTTTACAAACAGAGGAAAGAGAAATGTGCATTTTCACTTTTTTCAATTTTTTCACAATTTTCACTTCACAGCACTTGGAAAAATGGAAAAAAATTCTTGTTTAAACCAACTATCAGAGCTACTTTTGCCATTCATTGTACTGTAGGTAATAGATATTCTTTGGATAATGCTATTAGGCAAGGAACCTCACATGAAGGTAAAAGAGATGATAGTTTGAGTTCAAACAGGTGTCTCCTGGCTAAATGGCCTATATTTATTTAAAAGTCACTGGATACATAAGGGAAAGTTGAAAAACAAAATATAGTGATTATGGTAGAAATAACTAAATCCAATGATCCCAACATTGAATCATCAAAAATGAGGAATGTGACTAGCTAGGTGAACAAGCTACACCTTCCTTCTTGTAGTAAATGGTATGTAAACTAATCAGTCACAGTTTAACAATAACCTGAAGACAATCCAACTATTTTACTTACACTGCTCCCAGAAAAACCAGGATGATTCCATCCTAAAACTGAATATCCAGCTACAAATACAACAGGTAGTAACTGCTTAGCTGAATGGAATAATTCTTAACATAAACTAAAAGGCCATTATGTAATTATCAACCATACTTGCAGCATTGTTAACTTAGTATGTGTTATAGCTTTGGTGGAATTCTTTAATAACCCTAACTAAGAAACGTATCTCCAAATTAGTTTCATATCAATTATCAACCTTTATAAGGAGTCATCATCAGACCAACTTCATAAAAGCCTGCATTCCCTTCACATGTTATAACCTGTTGGGACAAAATAACACCAAAGTGATGCCTAATCTTACTAATTATTACACTGATTACAAGTGTTCTTAGTAAGATCACTTGCTTTGCATACAGTGCTACTCTTTGCAAATTACTGTTTAGTCAAAGGGCACATAGCAAATATAGATTATGCCTGACATTCATCAGCCATTCCAACCAAGGTGATTGAGACAAACCCTTCATGATGACCTTTTGTTCTGAGAAATTATACTACAGGGGAATGCAGAGACCAAGTCATGATTGGGTTAGGTGTTCCACCAATTAGATTGAAAGGTAGAACAAAAATTATTACCCCAATCAAAGAGTAGCAAAGGAAAACCACCACAAGTCCTGAGTACTTTTGAACAATTACTTAAAGAGTAGAGAGCAGACCAGGCATCTCAATGTACTTGAAAAGCTTCACTGGATGTAACAGCCTCATATTCAAGAATTTCAAGTGACTCATTACATAGCTATGTTTACAAGTGAAAATTGGAACAACTAGACAGTGACAACACACTAGCATCATTTTTTGCCCACCTCCTCTCCCATTATCAGTACATATTAGAACAGACCAAGCTTAAAACAAGAATCATTCTCATACCAAAGTATCCCCATGAACTCCATGTTCCCCACTTGATCTCTTGTCCATGAACATGGTATCAATCGCATTTCCATCTGCTGCTTCCAGTTTTGCTCTCTTGCCACTCTATAAGTGAATTTGTCTGACTGTGTAAATATTACAGTAAATAAAAACTGCAATAAAATCTTTGTGAAAAAAGGGTCCTCCCTTGTACCTCTCTGTACCACATTTTTCCTTCTCTGGTTACTGATCTGAAGGTCTGTTTCTTCTTCTCCTGCTACTCCTAAGGGTTTCCATTAGTTCTGTGGCAGAGCATCTGACTGGTGTCACGGTTTCCAAGTTCTACTAAAGGACTATTGCCCCACTCTCACTTAACAACCAGTTTAAATTTAAGTGTTGACAGAATAACATGATTGCACATGGCATTAGATGGAAGTGAATTATATAAATAAATATTTAAATGACTATCCAAAAAATTATTAAAGGAAATCTACGACTCATATTCTTACTTACACGTTCAATCAAAAACTGCCTCCCTGTCATCAAAGGTTCAGCTGAAAAGCAAAAAGGAATCAAGGAAATTTAAAACTCATTTACTGCTTGTATTAATATCAGCATTATACAGGCACAAGTTTGTCTTCAGGGCAACTTCCAACATGATGGTCATCTCTATAGTTTTAATCTACTTTTCATTTCAGAACTTTCTGCATATAAAACCTTTTACATGATTTATTTCTCATGCACATGACAAACATCTATCAATTTAAAAGTCGCAAGAATTTCACTTCATCCCCATAAGTTGGCAGGTAATCAGCATTAAAAGAGTTGCTATTTATTGTTCTTCAGTCAAGAAAATTTTTAAGAGCCAGTAAAAAGCATTTAAAGCTGTACCATATCCACTTTGAAGAAGACCAGTGGATCCAGGGTAGATCAAGGGGCGACCAACTGAGTGTGCCACAAAATACCTGAAAAATGTTAATCAATATGTACAAAGCATTGCCAACTAAAGGAACAACGTGGGACTTTGCAAATCATGATGGCAGTGGCAATAAAAGAACAGATTGCAAGAAATATGATGACTTGGCTAGACAATAGCTTGGTCTTCAAAGCAATCCTAAACCTTATTACAATTAAATTTCTCAATTATCCTTTGTTAAGTAATTACACCAAATCACCAAATTTTGCATAGTGTAAGAATAAGAACCTAGACCTTCACTAGAATTCCTTCCTGCTTTTAATTGAACCAGAACGTCATTATCAAGTGAACTAGAATAATAAAATCGAGTATATATATAATGAAGCGGTGAATAAATTACAAAGCGTTACAAGTCAAACAAAGAGTTTGGCCCTAATGGAATCGCTCTGGGTGTTTAAATTGGGCCTTATTGTTCTTATGTACAACATTTCATAAACAAGACAATCCCATTTCGTGCCACAGATTTTACTTCATCAGATTTTGTCTTAGTATCTGGTGTAGAGGAATAATCACATTTGTATTATCACTGTATTATCGACAAATGTGATTATTCCTCTACACCAGATACTAAGACAAAATCTGATGAAACTTTAAGAGTCAGTATTCCTTTCAAAGATCAAGTCTCAGCGATCATTGCCAAAAGACAAATGCGCGATCTCAGTTCAAAAATCGGCATTGATGTACAACCAGTCTACACCAGTAAGAAACTTGAGCAGGACCTAAAGCTTAAAGAAATCAAGCCACGCATCGTAAATCAGCATAGCGTTGTTTACTGTTTTAAATGTGATTTGTGTGATTCAAATTACGTCGGATATACGACGTGCCATTTGTTTCAACGCATTGCTGATCATCGATACTCTGCCATTGGTCGCCACCTGAGAGATGCCCATGGGAACATTGACTTACTCAATGAGAGCCAGTTTAGAATGCTTAAAAAATGTGGCACGAAATGGGATTGTCTTGTTTATGAAATGTTGTACATAAGAACAATAAGGCCCAATTTAAACACCCAGAGCGATTCCATTAGGGCCAAACTCTTTGTTTAACTTGTAACGCTTTGTAATTTATTCACCGCTTCATTATATATATACTCGATTTTATTATTCTAGTTCACTTGATAATGACGTTCTGGAAATGTCGAAATGTCGTGTTATGCTTTATAATATTTTATCGCAGATTTTTATTGCCAAATGATTATTACCTGAGAAAGTCACAAGGCCATGATCCAAGAAAGGATAAAAATCTTGAAGACCTGCTTTGAGAGGTGGTATTCTTGGCTTCCCTGCGCACATCTTGACTATTATCAAAAATAATTTTCCAAGGACAGCAATAAATACATGATTATATAAATACAACCAGTAACAAAAAACAAATACATGTGAAATTAATGATACCTAGCTCAAGAAAAATGGCTTTGTAGAATTGTTTTTCACATAAAAATATATGTCTTTCTGTAAAACATTAATTTAGTTGTGAGCAAAAGTTTAAAACCACACACATGCAGCAATGATTCACTTCTAATATGCTGCATGATGTGACTTCATGATGCAATGTCTTCAATATTATTTATAACTTCCTTAATTAAGGATATATGTTCAAATAAATTTATGTTCAATTGTGTAAATACAGTAAATATGAACATGGATGTCGTTTGTCATCTTCAAGAGAGAGAAAAATTCAGCTTGAATGACTTACTCAGCTTTGGATTCATTCCATTTGTAATCAACAGGCCAAGCTTCAAAACTGAAGTCATACAACCCAAGTCTTTTCTGTAACATTCAATTGCAAATTAACATGAATGTCAGTCATACATGGAGAGACATAGTAAGCCTCAGGTTGGGTTGCTGGACTCTGGATCAAAAGTTCCAGGTTTAAGCACAGGTTAGGTCATTGTGTTGTGTTCTTGGGCAAGACACTACCCTCCTTTATAATTCCACTCCTCCCCAAGCAGGGTAAATGTGTACCAGAGAAGCATACACCTAACAGTGGCAAAATACTGGGAAGAAACTGTATCCCCTCACTTTATGCCATTTAAATCAGGATAAGCTGACTTTACCCCTCCCCTCCCCACCCCACTCCCCCACACTTTCCTTCACCTTTACAGTGAGTCAATAGAAGGCTGGACAAACACATAATAGTCCAAATATTTGGACCTAACTAGAGTAAGAATAAAGCAACTTTTGGTAGCATTCAGGTAACTGTTGTAGAATACATATTGATCAAGTCTATGTCTGTGGACATCAACACACCTTGTTTTCCTCATTGTTATTCATTCTTGTTTCTTCTAAAAGAGCTAAGAATACTCTATAGTCCTGATTTTTAAATCGTCCATATCCTGCAGATAAAATAACAAAAAATAAATTAAGGATTTTTTTTTTAAGTGCATAGAATTAAGAGAAGTGTTTAAGGAAGATTAACATAAAAAAATCAGCCCTCAATAAATTTTGCACATAAAAATTAGGAGTCACTAATAGTTAATTCTTTAAGAATCAACATTTGATTTATAAATTTCCAAATAAGAGTTACTATTGATATACTAGAAACATAAATGCTGGCAGTGCATAGGTTTTTCACAAAAGTTGGGTCTGTTAGGGTGTGAGAGGAGCCTGTCAGTGAGAATATTATGCCCAGTGTTAGGTTGTTAATAATTTTTATGTGATGATAAGCAATCCCAGTTTTTGGGAATCAAATCACACAAATAAAGTTATTATTAACACAAAAAGATTGTTTACCAAAATGATGATTAGAAACACTGAGTTAATTTCTCACAGCACAGCACAAGGGTAGTACTGTAAGTTCACTCAATGGACTAAGCACAAATCCCCAACTATACAACTGTACCTCTTATGCACAATGCTCCAAACACAACCATAAGTCCTGTACCAATGAACCTAGACAAGCTTGCCAAACCTGCATGACTCAACAGACCTAATATCAAAGGAAGAACATCACAAAGTCATAATTAATTCCTTGTCAAAAGATAACTGTAAACAAATGTGCAAACTTAAAATCTCTGTATCATCATTAATAATGATATGATAAGTTTACAAGTGAAATATTATGTTCAACTGCTTTCCAAGCTTTATAATAAAATTCCATTGTCATAAAAAAACAACCTTACAAGGGTTTCAGTTATATACATTTTTATAAGTAGCTACTTAATGGGATACACATATGTGATCACAAGTGAAGCAATACAAATCTTATCAACAAAATCTGAGCTGAAAGTGGTTGAAGGTCTTATGTTCAGAACCAGAGAGCCATTGGCAGCCAACTTAACTTCTGTAAGTACACCATGATTTACAAAATTGCAAAAATTTAGCCCAAATTTTCTAATGAAATGTTCTTTATCATTCTTAACCCTTAAATTCCCAAGATCTGATTGTTAATTCTCCCCTCTGGCTGCTACACACTTCCTTGCAAATTAATTCAGTTACAAGAAATAGGTGTAAGATGTAGATAACAACTTCTAACTGATAAGCTTCAGTATTCTGATAATTTGGTATTATAAACTGAGGTGATAACATAAATTGGCCACCATAAAGAGTTACAAAGCTGACATTTCAAGCATAAGCCCTTTGTCAGAGTGTTTACCTTGTTATACTCTTCCACAAACACATCACCGCAGTTTCTTCAGAAACTTACCCCCTTTTATTATTATTACCTGATTGCTGGATAATAAATGGATATTATTGGAAGAAGTTACAAGTTTTAGCTCTCTCAGTGGAAGTTCAAGAGTTAACTAATTTTCACCTCCTTGGTATGTTGGTTGCATAACCAATAAGAAAACATGATTTATTTCACCCTGCTGTTTGCAGAGCTACATGAAGCCATCCCAGTATAAAATATTCATATCTTATTAATAACTGTGTTTGTTGACTAGTAAGAAAAACTTCAAGAAGAGATACAGACCTTTCCTAACGAGATAAAATCCTATGGCAGGTGCAGTTAACAAGGAAGTAGAGTAACAAACTGACCATGCTAATGACAACTACAAAAGAAGTTCACAAAATGTTACATAACCTCTTTAATGTGATGGAGGGGATACAAAAAAATATCAGTCGGAACCAATTTCCGAGAAAAAGAAAGAAATACTACTCTACCCCTCGGAGATTTAAGATTTTCAAGCTTTCATGCAAAATATTCATCTCCTTCCCAACCTTAAGCTGATCTGCTGTAAAAGTCAAAACAATTGTCGTCGTGAAAAATCCCGCAACGCTCAGTTTTGCGCGAAAATAACTACTTGGCAAAGTATTCTTTAGAGCTCAAGCTTAGCTAGGATCAAATCTTGAAGTAGGCTTCTTATTCCCTTACCGCTCGTAAAACTCCTGAGCCACATTGCTCCAAGGTATTCCCCTCGTATGATCTACTCTGTGAAATAGTTCAAGCCATATAAAATTAAAACGCCACAAAGAAGAAGGAATATTCGAAGCTAAAAAACGAAACTAAGTAAAACCCACGACCTACAAGACAGGTGATGGCTAGCTTTGTTTCAGTAAACATAAGCAAACGAATCGCGAAAACCAAAAGGTTAAATACTATTTTCAAGGTGAAAAAGCGTCCACTCAACACTTACTTGTCGACTATTTTTTGTAAAAATGCGATATAACTGTGGTCCCACCGCACACCTATAGATCTCCGCCATTTTGTTTTCTAAAGTCTTCGAGAGAACAACCGCTGACGCATGTTTTGTCTGCACATATTATATAAATTTTTGTTTGATGCGAAATTACGTTGGAAAACAACTATGAATCGAGTATTTGAGAGAAACTTTCTTGACATTTTTCCCTCTGTAACTTAGATGGAAGCATTAAAATCTTAAAATTGTTGTGTGGCGTGTGGAAGGAAGTGATTTTCTGAAAACAAAAGATTATACAATCGACTTCGAGTCTTGCGCTATGATTTTTGGGGCGATCGATGTAGATGTTATTTGTGAAGGATGCAAGAGGCCTGTCGAAGAGCACAGTCGGAAGAGCCCAAACGTATTTAATAGTATACTTTTATCTCAAGTTATCGTTGATCATTTGAAATAGTCACTTTCCTGTGAGCGTTTTGTAGAGCTTCAACTGTGCAGCTAGTGCAATGTACCTGCAATTCTGGCGACAAATTAAAGTTTACAGAAGTTGTTTT